TAGGCAAATTAGGTACACCACAATGCAAGTTTTTTTTTCTTAGTCTCATTTTTAATGCATTAATCCATTTTTAAACATAATATTATGATTACACATTTACATGTATTTTATAATAAGTAATTCACCAAGTATGCTCACTGCCTTTTGTCCATTAATAATGCATTTTTCAATTTCAAATACTTAGATTTTGATTAACAATTCATACTAAAAAGGTAGTTTTTATTGAAAAAAAAGTAATTTGTATCTCCATAATACACTCTTTAAATGGCTTTAAAGTATAAGTGTTTGAAAATATGGTTTTAATGGGTATTTAAAAATTCTAAAAATCAGAGTTTTAATATTTAGATTATTAAAGAGTAAACGGAACGTGATCATACTTCGTGAATAATTACCACATGGACATAAAAAAAAAAAAAACGCTGCAGATCTAGCTGTATATATTTGAAAGTACCTAAACTGTTGGAGTCCAACCGGCCATAACGGATAGATATATGGTAACAATAATAATAATAATATACATCAAATTACGTTTTTTAATGCACGCACAGTTATTTTTTATGATTCTAATGGAAAATACTGCTGGTTTTTGTTTCGATTTTCATCAATATTAGCCATTAGATATGCCATAAAAGTTTCATACCATAATATACATATGCGATATGCCCATCAATTAGTTTTAAATCATCATTATAGGTACCTAGTATGATGCGAAAAATTCATCGAGCACCGAACTTTGCCGCTAATTTATAAGTTACGATGGAAATCTTTTGGTCGAGTTATGGTCGTTAAATATATTTAGAACCGATAAACCGAAAGTTTAGGAGTAATAAAAGAAAATAGTTGTTTAAAGTTTCTTCGGAATAACAGTTTTCGACAATGAATTCATTACTCACAACAACCAACATCACTTTGCGTTTAGTAGATACCGCGTTACCAATTATAATATGAAAACGTATTTGCGCAGTAAGCCATAAAGACGGAAAAATTAATTTAATTAAAGTCGATTTTGTACCAACATTGTTTAACACATTTGTGTCCGAATTCGATTTAATATTATCCTCGAGTTTTATTCAGAGTTGTAACTTAATATGGTAATATTGTGCATTTGTGTGTATAAAACATATTTGGATATTGTTTTGCCATAATTTGTTACGAATAAGATATAGTTATGAAAGTCACAAATCGTTTTGTATACATATATATATCTTATGAAGTGTCGTTAAAAAATATTTATTTCATACTCGTAAAATATAATATTCAAAAATTAAACTGTGGAAAACAGCGTATTCGATTAGTATACATTCGTAACAACAGACTGCTGTCAATAGTACGATAATAAATCGCATTTCAATTAACCGGAAAAATAAATTTTTTATAATGACACCGTGTCGCATAATCCATTACCATTGACCGATATTTTATTATACCGCAGTTATGAAAGTTTCTGGAATCTCGGTAACAATGAATTCCTGTAAATACAAAAATAATAGTTTTTATTTAAATGATATACCCACTTTGCTAGTACTTTTGTTCGTAAATCAAAAACTTTTTAGTACAGTATGACATTTCAACATAATAATATTATATTCCAAAAATGAATTTATTCCTTGTTTTGAGTTTTTATTTTTTATTTCATACAAAAAAAAATTATATTTTCACACTTCAGTTTACATATTATTAGATATAATGTGTGTACCTACGTATATTAGTGCTGATCTAGTAAAATAATTCAAAAGCATTTTTCGTTCACGCTATATTTAACGTAATTTAGACTATTGGATTTGATTGGTAGTTGATTTAAATTTTAAACTACCTAATAAAAAATTTGAAATTCGAGTATATTTTAATGTTTGATGTATACGGTCATTCTGTTTTTAAATTTTCCCTATTTAATTTGAGACACTTCTGTTTTTCCTGTGAAAACAATCTACTCTGTTCTAAATATATCGCTTGTAATCGATCCGAAATAAACGACCAATTTCGTTGTAGCCGTTACTAAAAAAAACCTAGTTATAACTTTTCCTGAAACACTCGAGTGCAATTATACTGAACCTATAACCCGGTACACCTATAAACGAGATACCGCGAAATGCGCCATAATATCATGTCAGATTAAAAAAAAAATTCTTCGTACTAACTTTTTAATAATTTTCAAACGCACATAAAATATACATTTGTTCCGGGATTGCGATCATTCGGTTAGGATACCGAAGTTACCATGATTGAATAATAATGGTAACACTACTTGTGGTATGTTATTATTATTTAACTATACCGAGAAACTGTAGAAATTTCGCTTCATTCTGCGGAAATGTGGTGGTAGCGTTGAGAAATGTAACGTCAGATGCGTTTTGCAAGACACGAAAATTACCGGCGTCGACATCAAATTTACTTCCGATTGACTTTAAAACGTCTTGTAACTCACTGTAACTGTATAATAATATTATGCATTTATTAATTTATTATGTACCTATATACGAGTGTGACATCATGTCCATGCGAACACGAGAATATTTCAAATGTACGCGTGTGCAATGCGTTAGTTTAAATCGTTTTCGACGCATATTGTGCTTATAGTTGTAGCAGTAATCATCGTTATTAGTTATTGCTATACGAACGCTCAGTGTCTATGAATGGGTTCTTAATGGTGTCAAACGCGCATATAATGTTATACAATATTATCGTTACCATAATTATAGGTGTGAAAAGGTCAATTTTCTTTTGGTACCTAAAGGTATAGTTATAAGGAATAATATTGTATTGCGAAGAAGTCGACATTCTAAATTTACTAATGATCATATACCAGTACTCGTACGAGTAAATACTCGATATATATACATATATTTTTTTTGTCATTAACTAACCCGTGGCAACCTAGGCCATTGTGTGGTTTTTAACTGTGGGGGAGGGTACTGTATAGGTTTTAAATACGTATATTTTTAGTTTGGTCAGAATTTTCAAGTGGGCACTCTTAGGTATCAGTCATGACCGGGTGGGGGATGGCTGCATCTCTCTCCAGACACCGTGACTGCCCGAAAATAAGTGCCGCCCGTGGCCGAGGTTCGAACCGGCGACGGTTACTCGTCGCAACCGACGCCTTAGTCCGCTCGGCCACTCCGTCCCTCACTCGATATACTATTATAATGCTAGAAGATGTTATGGCTTTGTAAAAAATTCAAGAGTTATGTAAAACAGATTTCATAGAATCGTGTAGAATATAGTAAGTATATACCACGATTGTTTATTCTCTCCCACATATTTATAGATATTGTCGATTAACATTAATCGCTTGTTCGTTTCTCTGGCTGAATAATAGCTACCCACCTATATCATAATAGGCATAATATGTTATATCATAACTATATATTATATCGCACGTATTAAAACTATGTTTGTACAACAAACGAATTTCACATGTCGTTATTATTTAATGATGTAATTTGAAAACCAACAGTGAAAACTCAAAATAATTATTTTTAATTAGAACAACATAATATTTTCAAACCAACACATAGCTGCAATTGTAATGTTGTATATTTTAATTTAATTAAACGATCGTTACTTTTAATGTCTACGGGAAAGGAAAATGTATAACATAATGTAATCCGAACAATAGACTGTATATTATAATATAGCACATGGTTTAATGGTAATTACTGTTTCATCGGTGCGTGCGATCGGTAATCAATTTCAAAGCAAATTTTTGTTTTTGTTTTATGCAACGCGTGTTAGGATAAGGTATAGGAACTATATTATGTGCATATTATGTGTGAATAAAAATAATTGAATCTTTTTTGTTTTCTCTTTCGACATGTAATATTGTTACCTAATAACATTGATTTCAAACATTTAAAATTTTTGAGGTACATTTCAGGGCGAGGCTAGTGCTGTTTGGTCATAATATTCATATGAATTATAATCACTATATTTTTACCTTCCTCCAAGGAATGTAGGGAATGTATTCCGGTGAGCGAATGAGATCAAAGAAAAACATTTTAAAATGAGTATTAAATTGTATTTTGTATACGACTATAAATAATGGAACAATAAAACGGTTAGCACCACCGTCGTATTACATATTATACACTATAATATATTAGGGCATTCTCTTAAAAACAAGACCAACGTTTTATGATATTATACTAGGTATGTCGTTATCAAATCATTAATCAACGTACCTATATTATAATTTAAACGTATTCACGATCAATGATAAATTCAAGTGTGCGAGAAGCAGTCGTAATTCGTGAAACATAATATAATACTATAGAAAGAGCATACCGGAAAGGATTATTATGTTATATATTATAGTCCTTTACTTCTATGACGTATACCTAACTGCGGTATACTTGCACGAGTGACGACTGATGCAGTTGTTACCGCGCCATGCAGTCTAGTATCGCGATGCCGATAGATATCGACGCAGTATTTTATCATGACAATTTTGTACGACGCGTGCCAGTTTCGTCTCTGAACACCGATGGTCCGCAGCTAAGGTTTTGAAAATATTCTATTATCAAGGAATAGTAGCTGTCCAAGTTATACTTTACACCGTTCAGACGTGTTACTATATATTTTATTATATTTTTAAAACGACAATTATTTCCCCCGGCGATCCGCGTGTTTTCAAACGTTCTCGAGTCAATCGAGCTCAGATAAAATATACAGACGTAAGGGGTGGGCGGAACTCACCCAAGCATCGGGGGGGGGGGGGAGGTACCCCGAGAAATTGTGACGTGTGCACGGCATGTGCCTGCATAATCGCATAGATAGTCCGAATAGGAGAAAAACAAAACGAAAAATCGAATTTACTCTAAAATCTCGACGGACAACCGCGTAGTTGGCCTGCGTGCGGACATATGCGTACACGATCGCCCTGTATAATATATACGATATTAATAATAATGACATTAATGATATTCAACGTCCGTTTGTCGGTTGGTGTTTTGCAGGTCACGAGGTCGTTGCAAGCGATGCCGTAGCGGCGGTGCGGTGCCGGAATGACAAACAGCCCTGGGGCCTACCATGCCGCCGCCGCCGCCGAAAACAACCGTAACATCGGTCACGCAGCTGCGACGTCTACGTCGACGACAGCGCAGGGACGCCGCAGTCAGGCCGACGCTTCTCACTACATCATGCCAGCGGACCCGTAAGACCTTTTTATTGTTACATCGTTATTTTTATTTATTTATTTATTTTTTTTTTTTTTTACCACACTCTCGAGCGTCACGTACAGTCGTCTGTTTTCTTTTTTTTTTAATTCCGTGGGGACGATAACGCTTCAACACAATAATATTATTGCTATAAATTTAAAACGTAAGAAAAAATATATTATTTATGGCAATCAGAAACAAAAGTCTGGTAACGTGGTCGTCGTCAAATTAATATAACATTGCCCGATAATCTACATAATAATATATCATGTGATGCATAATACGCGGTAATACTAAACGAAGGTACACAGAAATATTGATTCGCCCTTGCTGTTCTCGTCATCACCGTCGTAACTGTTTCTGCTACAACCTGAGAGCTTTATACTGTAGGTCGAGATGGATGATGTGAGTTGGGTAGTAATAACGGTCAACCATTCAGTAGATCAGTGGTTCCCAATTATTATGAAGCCACAGACCCCTAGGCCCTAGCTAAATCTTAAACTGGTCCGGGGACCTCTTTTTCGTAAATACTTAATTTTCAATTTGAATAAATGTTTCGCGATAATTGAGTTTCGATAGTTCAAAAATACCGGGAATTTCAAAGGACCACGAATTTAATAATTTTGCAAAAATTAAATTAAAATTAAAAATCACTACAGAACTACACAACCATGAACTTAATAACATCAACACCTGGACCTGGTCCCCTAGGGGATTTTTTTACCACCAATTAGGAACCACTGCAGTAGATCATAGTGGAGTTATTATTTTCGTTATTCAAAAGCAATTTTTGTTCAACCCACCTAAAAAATAATAATAACGATAAAACCAAAACTAAGAAGTAAATAAAAAACGAACTTTAAAATAAATAAATTATAGAAGGTCCGACGGTTTAATCAGTGACGGATCCAGGGCTTAATTTTTTTGGGGGGATAGGGTGAAAGTAAAAAAGTACAAAAATTGGCTAAATCAGTGTAAAACAAAATGAAGAACGGTGATTGGGGTGATGGACTGATGCCCCTTACTCCCCCTCTAGATCCGCCACTGGGTTCAATTGAATATTATTTACGACTTCGGCCCTCCCTCTATTTAGAGTACCTTCATATTATAATAAATATTCGTATACGACATGTGTACGGTGTACCTACCGGATCAGTGTCTAAAATATATTATAATTTGTGTGTGTTCACTGAATACCGAGCAAGTTTCATGAAGTTGCCGTGTATGGTTATTTTGCTGAAAGATGATTTTTGTTCACCCTACCTGTAATCTACTTTCTCCATACCGTAATATTAATAGTAAAACATTTTTACTTGGCTTTCGTCGGACCGGCAAAGCGGTAAGAGTTCCGTAAAACTACGTCAATAAATTGACCAAAAACGTCGATGTTGTAGGTAAATGTTAGCCGTGGGGCTCAAACGGGAGGTAGATAGGTTAACATACATGAAAAGCGGAAATTGTGAATCGTTTATATAGTTAACGTTTGAAGCGAAAGTCGTTTACGCGTGGACGGACGCAGCGATTTGATCATAATATTACTCGATCGAGCGGAAGAACAGAGAGATGGTTCCTATAGTACTACTGCGCAAGCGTCCATCCCAGTCAAAAAAAAAAAAAAATAATGTATTCGGAATGTGGTGCTCTTCGTATATCGCAATAGACATTACAGTGTGTATTTTTCAATATACATTAACATATATCCTCAGGAATCGACATCGAATTGAAGAGTGGATAAAAAAGGCACAATGGAAAAAGGTCCTTTACCAAGTCCAGAAGACTATACCTAACGGTGACGAGTATAACGCGGAAGAGATGAACTCAAGCGGACGACGTGAAATTACTGTGCTTGCACGGGACAATCTCGATACATTAATCAATCGAAACTATTATAATTTACCGTCGGGGGATGTTTAATGATATATATTATTATCTTAATAAGAATAACAATATACGCTTATGACCATATCTTACATAAATCCGAGATGACAATATAGATCTTTTGCACTCACTCGGTTCGACCTACCCGTTGGCTTCCACACGCCTACACGTACCTACACATACCCATAAGGTTATATTAATAACAGCGTACCGTCTACGTACAACAATTTAATATTATTATTAAGTCGCGAAATTGTTTTTGTTGTTGTTTCGCATCCCGTTTATTTATATACATTAACGTCTGTGGTTTCGGATAAACTTTATTTTTGTTTTCCACGTCGACCCTCTTCAAAGACTATATTCTCGTGACGGTCCAACACGTGTATATGAGTATATATTACTGGCGGAACAGCAGAGTTGGGTCCTCGAGACCGGTATGAAAGCCACACAACAGGGAGCTTGAGGAGCTGAGGGTTGGAGACCTAGATTCCTCTGTCATGTCTGAGGTGTGTTTTTTACGCCGAAAGTCCCTGTTTTGCTATGTTTATTTAATAACAACAGCGAAAAAAAATCATCATGAGACGTCTCGGGTTGTTAGAGTCACGCATAATGTAATATCGGAAAACAACGGATATGGAGCGGTGGTTTATGGTTTGAGTTATTTGATGTGTACTATACAGGTGTGTTTAACTCGAAGCGAAAATATAATATTATGATTATTTGATAGAGCTAAGCCGGAAGCGATTAAACCGATTTCATTAGTACGATGGGTATGCTTCAGTTCCGATTTAAATACAATGATTTATGACGTTGTTACAACAACATGGTAAAGTGAATAGATAATAATATATTCACTTTACCGAGCATATAATAATAATATCCTCCTATTCTTCTTCTCCTAGAGTGTAAAGGACTTTTAGGACCATCCCTCCTCACAACCAATCATCCATCCATACCTGTCCAAAGATAGGTTCCTCCAATCATAGCTGCCCCCCAAACGTTCGACTTCCTTTTTAAGACATCTTTCAATCCCACTCTTGATCTTCCCAAAGGTTTTTTTCCCTCGCAAGATTTGGTTCCAATACTTGGTGAATTGTGGTTTCTCCGAGAATGGACAACCCATCGCAATGTTCCCCTGCAGATAACTTTCAATATTTCATTGATGCTTTGTCAGCTCTATATTGTTTTTTCATCTCCACTCTCCCGTTGTAGTATTAACGTTGACCGGGCCATACAATCTCTGCACAATTTTCTTTAAAATTTATTGAACATATTTCCGTCCATTTTTCATAGCGGCCAAGTCTTAGCCCATTATAACTGGCCATATCTGCAGGAATGTACACAGCTGTTTTTCATTCTTCTATTCCGACAATTCTTGTGACTCTGACACAAACTTCGCGAGTCCATGTGCGAGTATAGTAACATATTGCAATTTGCCGCTCGAATTCTTGAGCGTTTGTTATTTCATTTTCTTCCGTTTATCATTATAATATAATATAATACGCGACGTAAATTCGCGATTATACGTGACACGACATTCGTAGTTGGCCGGTTGGCGAATAAATCTCGAGCTTATGCCGGACCGTTTATATTATTACAATAGCGGCTATTATATATATATTATGGCGGCCAGTGGTGAACGCGCAGTCATAATGTACAGAGTATCGTAACGAATACGTTTTCGAATCTTTTTCCCTCCGTGTTTAAACACCGTGTCCGCTACACCATAAGCCGATAAACGCAGTGTAGACTTTTGCACGCACAGTACTAAATATATCTGCGCTGCGTTGCTGCACTGAAACGCGAGCGGAGCTTAAACGACGATTATGTTTTATTTATGCGACTTAAACACCGAGCGAAAATATAATAATAATAATAATATCATATTGCCTCGTCGTGCCCGACATCCGCACCATTTATACAGGACAAAAGGTATCAAAACCAAAATCGCCATAACGCACAATATATGATATCACGAACCAAATCGTTCGGTTTGGGTTTTTTTTTTATATAATATATATTACGTATGTGTACGTCTATATGTTTTGTATTAAACTATGAAAAATAATAAAATTTAATGACCGACACGAGAACAACAACAAGCGTATCGCGGTGGGTGTACAACTATATTATTATATGCGGTGTATAGGTACGTTGTGTCAGAGTTACACGGACATAAAATTTAATGAGAACTCGTAAAAAAAAAAATAGAAATCCACGGTTGTATCGATATGTTTTGGGGGTGGCCGGAGGGCGGTTGATACGGTTACAATGAAAAGGATAATAGCGCAGCGAAATATTAGCTTAAAAAAATAAAAGCGCTTATACTGTGTAGGTAGGTAGTTTTTTTATGGCACGTTCTCAAGGAGAGCCGTACTGAATACAAACTAACACGCCGAGAGATATACAAATACTTAAAAAGTTGTAATCCCGTTTTCGTAAGATTATACTGCATATATAGAATGTAACGTCCAAAATTAAATTCCGGGTTAACAAGTTGTTCAGTTTGGATTAAATGATTTAAATATAGTTAAATAAAGTAAAGTTTCAGCATTTCGGATTGAGTTTGTTCATTTTTCAAAATATTCGAGGCAATTTATTTTCAATCGTCGGGATAATATTCGAGTTTAAAATGATTTAACTGTTTTTGGTATTGTGTGAAACATAGTTTACAAAACAATTTGAGACTCAAGCAAAGTATTAAATCTAAAGTTTAAATATGAAATACATTTATTAAAAAACCGGAGATCTCGCTCCTGCTTTACAGTAGATTTCAAGTGTATGGTAATTGTAAAGGTCATTTCACTAATTAATATATTTAAATTATTTATCGAATGATAAATCATTACTGTATACGGTACACCTCTGAAATAATAATTCTAAGACTAGCATCTACAGGGAAACTCTCTTAACGGACATCTCCAAATAGTGGTCGTTGTTTGGAGAATTAACTATTAAGTATAAACTTTTTACAAACTGAACCATCTGATTGGCTGATAAATTTTCAGTGACCGAGAGTGTCCGTTATTTAGAGGTTTCATTATATATCTTAATGGGAGTCGATGACTTGACTTTAAATTATATTTATACTACCATCTCGGTATATTATAGAACTCAA